CGAGAATCGGCTGATTTTTTATGGTATCAGCTTTTGAAAGATGTACTTTTAGCAATGCCAGAAACTGTTGATTCCAAAATTGAAATGATTGATCGATTTCGTATATATTACAGTTCAAAAAACCCGACATTTTTAACGAAAGTCGATGAATTTGAACAGACATATCAATCATGTGATGCTATTTGTTGGTATACCAAAGATTCAATTGTGTATCGCCTCGTTAATCAAGCACTGAGAACAGAAGATATTGAAGCATTACTGGCTGTACGCTATTATATATCGGATCTTTGTACATGTTTGAAAAAAGAATGTGAAAAGTTAAAAGTTCAAGGCCTTGATGTCTTGACTGTTTATCGAGGACAATTTTTACCTACAGAAGACATTGATAAATTACAACAAAGTGTTGGACAATTAATATCGGCAAATGGTTTTCTATCAACCACTCGCTCGCTAATAGTTGCTGAAATCTATGCGGGTCCGGGTAATGTTATTTTTGAATATGTAATCGACACACATTTAAACCAGAACATTATTTTCGCCGATATTTCAGAACATAGCGAAATGCCTCACGAAGAAGAAGTTTTATTTGATCTTGGAACTATATTTCGTGTAGAAAAAGTGTATTTCGATAAGAGTAGTGGCTTTTGGAAAGTGAATCTAGTTGCTGCCGATGAAACAGAAAATTTAACAAACAATTTTATGAGACAAAGACGTGATCGTATGAGAATGCCGTCTATCGAACTAGAATTTGGATTTCTATTAATAGAAATGGGGCAGTACAGCAAGGCCATTTCTTATTTTGATAATCTAATACAACAACACCAGAACGACGATATTTTTAAACTGAACTGCTATTACTCTCTTGCGTTTTCTTATTCAGGAAATCATCAAAATGTGAAAGCCATGCAATATGCTACTTTTGCTTACAAAAGATGTATTGAATTGTCTTCCAATACGGACAAAGGTGACCGAATGTTATCACGTTTGTTTGATCTTTTGGGTTCAATACATCTAGAACGAGGAGAAACTGAACTAGCCTCGAAATATTATTACCAGTCGATGAATATTAACCCTTCTGATGCGGATAATCCAGAAATATTGGCTTTGTATCATAGAACAAACGCATATATTTGTTTCTCGCAAGGTAATTATACTCAAGCATTAGATCATTTCCAAAAAAGACTGACTATTTATGAAAAATGGACGACATATGACGATCGAGCTTTAGCTGAAAGTCATTCTAGTCTTGGTCGTATTTATCTAGAAATCAAACATTATGAACAAGCTTTTGAACATTTGCAAATAACATTAGAGCTATACAAAAAATCTTTACCAACACATCATTCAGCACTTAGTAGTACCTATCGAGATTTGGCAAATATATGTCATTGTACTAAAAAGTATGATTTAGCTTTGGAATATTATTTAAAAGCAGAAGAATCAGCACCTACCTTAAAAAAATTTACAGATAATTCTGTTCTTCTGTCAGCTCATTTATGCAGCTTAGCAGGCAATTGCTATTTACATAAAAATGAAAATACCCTTGCCGAGCAGTATTTTAGAACGTCTCTTGCGTTATATGAAAAATGTCGCTCATCTGTAAAAGGTGAAAACCTACTGATTGATATTCAATGGAATATGGGCGTTGTGTTTAGTCGAAAGCGAGAGTTTTATTCGGCTTTGGAACATTACAAAGAGTCACTCGTGTTAGTGGAAAGAATAATGCCTGATGAACGTATTCGAATTGCAGAGCTGAATGATGGTATCGGTGTATGTTATGAAAAGATAGGCCAATATGATCTTTGTATTGAACATGCACAAAAATCATTAGAAATTTATGAACAATGTATTCCACCAGATGTCGAAAAACTGACAGATATGCATAATACAGTTGCTTGGTGTTACTGTATGAAACACGAATATTTGCTTGCTATTAAACATCGAAAACAATCTTTGTTCTTAGAAGAACAAAAAGTGCCAAGAAATGTAGCACAAATTGCTGGTTTGCACACGAGCATCGGTTGGTCATATCATTTAAATGGAGACTACAATTCAGCTATTGATTATTGCATAAAATCTTTACACATATTCGAAAAACATGAACTAAATGATCATGTAGAATATGGAAATGTTCTAAGCACATTAGGTGTGATATATTTCAAAATGAAAGATTTCGAGCGCGCGTTCAAATTTTGCTCAAAATCAATGGAAATATTTAGCATAAATCGAAATATGGAAAGTGAACATCCAGCTATTGCTGACAATTATGAAACACTTGGTAATATCCATTTTATAAACAAAAAACAGACTCCTGCTTTCAATTCCTACGTTTTAGCATTACACTTATTGAAGAAAATACTGCCACTAGGACACGAGTATATAGCACGTCTACGAACTTCGCTTTCTCAAATTACAGAAGTGGAGTTTTAGTTAATCAGAAAATGTATGTCTTATGATTATCAGTGACTGTGAACTATAGTTACAGATATGGTTATTCTGATCACCAATCGAGCCCCTATTCTTTCTAATTTTTTAATTGTTGCTTAAAGCTTTTTTGTGAAACACGATCTGAAAGGAGTGTTGAAGTGTTTAGGGGTAGAAATTTGCACC